TTGTTGCGCTGAAGTTTTATTTGTACAAAAAAATGTTTTTTATACAGTGTATTTTAAGCTACTGAAGTCTGCATTATTATAATCACCCAACTCAGCACTACAGACATACAATACCCCAAAAATATCATTACAATATGCAATATCACTGCAGCCTTCAATTCAATATACCCAATATAGGTAACACAATATAGCAATAAAAAAGATGTTGCCAACATAACATGTGCATTATATCAAACAAGTATCAGTTTAAAAACCAAAGTAACCAGGTGTATGACAAATAAAGAATAGTCCATCCTGCCACATTTCTAAGTAAACTCAAAAGTTCAGTCTTTCCATCGTAAATGAAAAGTGCTCCAGTGCTCAAATAAAGATTAGTCCATCCTGCAACAGTTTAAATAAACGTCTCAATAAAGTTCAGTATCTCCACTGTGAATTGAAAGTGCTCCACTGCTCAGACAACCTCTCCCCAGCAGACTAGGGTTCACCAGAAAACAATGCCTCTCTTTTTACAGATTGGCATATCACGCTTATACAGGTGGCTTCCATCTAATATGGCTTCCAGTCCTGACTCCTCCTCTCTTGTGGAACTCCCCATATGACTAAACTAACTCAAAAGTGCTTTGATTTAGGGGATCAAGGTAGATAAGTATATGGCCATATTTGTAAAAAGAGAGGTGTTGTTGTCTGGGGAGTCCTAGTCTACTGGGGAGAAGTGTTTGGGCACTGGAGCACTTTCTACTCACTGTGGCGATATTGAACTTTCTTGAGAAATATATTTAAACTGTTGCAGGATGGTCTAATCTAATTTGAGCACTGGAACACTTTTCATTCACGATGGAAAGACTGAACTTTTGAGTTTATTTAAAACTGTGGCAGGATGGACTAATCTTTATTTGTCATACACCTGGTCACTTTGGTTTTAAAGTGGTACCTATTTCACCTAACACACATTTTATGTTGGCAGCGGTTTTGTTATTGATATATTGTGTTACACCCTTGTCTGCATTGCCAGTTTATGTAAAAGGTAAACACAGCCCTTACAGTTAACCTGTGGCCAGGCTATGAACAATAAATATATACATATTTTTTAACAAGTAATTAATAGGCATCACAGAATGTCCTCAAGGAACTCTCTACAGCACATGTGTCAAACTGGCGGGCCTCCAGCTGTTGCCAAACTACAAGTCCCATGAAGCATTGCAATATTGACAGTTACAAGCATGACTCCCAAAGGCAGAGGCATGATGGGACTTGTAGTTTTGCAACAGCTGGAGGGCCGCCAGTTTGACACCCCTGCTCTACGAAAATCTAAAGAAATGCATTCTTAGATTTTACAGGAAAAGCACTGAAGACTTCAAGCCATTATCTCAGCAGCTCAGCTTACCCTTATTCCTCTTCCCATATCACCTGCTCTATGTTTACATTAAAAATTATAGACTTGGAAGGTTGCTGAGCCATTGCTGGGAAGGGGAAGCAGATTGAGCTGAGCTACTGAGAGTAATGACTTGAACAACTTGAGTGTTTCTGCTGGGAATTTTAAAGTTTAATTGTTTCACAGTGGCTATTGCTACAGAGAGCAGTGTGGGCTTTATTTAATGCTTATTTAATGTTTGTAGGGAATATATGGATACTTAAAGGTCCTTTACACTTGTTTTCATTTTTTTTACTGCACAAACATTTTTATTTAGCTATTCATTAAAGAATATGCAAACCCAACTCTTAATATTCTTGTTATGTGCCTGCTGTACCATGTACTTGTATGAAAAAGTACCCTGTTCTTTTTTATCATGTTCTTGCCAGTCCCTCTGCTTTCCTATTAAAAATGTACCACTTTAGGCATGAGAGCATTATATGGCCAGTTCTCTAGCTATGCTGGAACTTAACCTGCTCTGTTCCAATGATCAGACATTTGATGACACACCAAACCCCACCCCCTTCCTGTGCACAGACATTCACTAGGAAGACCAGTGTACTACTGCTTTTCCTCCCCTAGCTCTCTAAGATCCTTATGCAGCTGAGAATATAGAGTATGTGTTTTATATATGTATACATACAAGTTTTGCCTTTCATTTCTATTTTTAACTGAATGCATTGTTTGACAAGATAAGGGTTTACTTTAATGAAGTTCTCTTTAAGGGAAAACATGACTACAGTTGTTTACAAACCAAAGATATGCATCCAATTGTCAATGAGCATTTTTGCAGGCAGATGGAGGCAAGAGGGAAATTTGATCAAAAATAGTAAAACAAAAAAAAAACTGCATTATTAAAATTTTGTGATTATGGTACTTTTATTCCTGAGGGATGTGCAGGTGGCATCACACATTGAAAACGAAGACTTACTAAAATTACACAATCCCATTCAAAGGCATGACAGCTTCTTTTTTATTTTCAGATACTTGTAAAACTTGGACTGAAATATATTTTAAACAGTTTGCCTGCAGTGAAAATATCCATTGAATGAATGAGGATTTCACTAATTAGATTTTCTTTAAGCACCTGTTCTTGTAATATCATATGATAGATGTTTGTTCTTCCAGCTTTTGCAGTTTCCCTCTCCAAATGAAAGATTGCCTCACAAGGCTATTTGTCTCATAAGCTAAACAAGAAGTATCGGTGTCAAACCCTGAGGCTAACTAGTCTCCCATGCATTTCTTCAAGGAAGGAAGGAAGATCTGCAAATGTACTGTTTATTGCAGAAAGGATATTGCACCTCCAGTGTGGTCGCTGATAACATAAATACTGAAAACATGGCATTTTTAAAATGGAAAACTTCCCCTTTTCTCCACTTCGCTGTCACTTCTCTGATAAACCACAACCATAAAAATGTGAAACACTTGTTCTACATAGGCACTAATGACACACAATGCAAATTTGTAAAATAAAAATCACACATATGAAGCCTGCATGTTTTATCGCTGTTTTTGTAAACAGCAACATTGTATTTTTATGGGAAGGGATTTATAGAGGTAAAATATACAACTCTTTGAAGTATAACCTAATCTATTCTAAAAATGGTCTTACTCAAAGTTTTACTGTTACAAGAAAAGTAACAGTTTATAAAGACTTAAAGGGCTACTTCAACATAGTCTATCAGGCTGGGAAAGGGAGGTAAGCGCATTGCGCAAATTACGATTTACTAAATTACACAAATCTATGGGTCTTGTTCACACAGACTTCAGGTTATATAAGAGAAGTGTATACAGCATGCTTTTGCAACCATTTGTAAGTTTTGAATAGTTATGTTGAAGTCTTTAACCACTTCAGGTCCGGACACTTTTATCCCCTTCCTGTCCAGGCCAGTTTTCAGCTTTCAGTGCTATCACACTTTGAATGACAACTGCGCGGTCATGCAACACTGTACCCATTTGTTAGCATTGAAAAAAAAAAAGAAAAAGAAGCGCCTCTAAGTGCAGCAGAACCACTTTAATAAATCTCAAATGTAGGAACACTCACATGTAGTAGTAGTAAAACAAGCATGTATTCGATAAGTACCCAGGAAAGTATGAGGAACGGCTATGTTCCAGTATTGGATATCCGCATCTGCACCCAGGAGTAGCGTGGTGACAGGAGGAAGAATCCGACCGGCATGTGTAACCTCCCTAAGAAGGAGCACGCTTCCACCAATAGAGGTTAGCGCATGCTCTGAAACACATTGCAATGCATGCTGGTTCCTGATGTCATCACGCCAACACCGACGTCACGCCTCAACGTGTGTGCGTTCCAGACACCATCTTAGGGAGGTTACACATGCCGGCCGGCTTCTTCCTCCTGTCACCACACTACTCCTGGGCGCAGACGCGGATGTCCGATACTGGAACACAGCCATTCCTCATACTTTCCTGGATACTTGTCTAATACATGCTTGTTTTATTACTACTACATGTGAGTGTTCCTACTTTTTGAGATTTATTACAGTGGTTCTGCTGCACTTAGAAGAGCTTCTTTTTCTTTTTTTTTCTTTCTTATTACACAGAGTCCTGCTACAGCACTTTATGAAGCTTGGCCAAAGTGTCCTATGGACCTTCTTATTTTAATCTATTTGGACTTTATGGACTTTTATTATCAGTTCAGTTAGTGTTTGCGCTGATTATTTTTTTTTTTTTCAGGTTTTTATTGCTGTCTGTGCCCCCTTTACGAAGATTACTTCTCTTTGGTAAGGCACCAAGGCTGAAAGAAAATTCAAAATTTTAGAATTGTGACTAGAAGGGGTCCTATTCTGGTGACAAATGTCTAAAAGGGAATTTTCCTATTTGTTGAGTCTATAGAGCAGGAAGTAAGGTGAGATCTCTCCAATCAGACACAGATTACATAAAAAAAAATCTGTCAGACCTTTTAGTCCTTCCCTACTCTATCCAAAATAGAAAAAAAGTTTTGGCTTTAGATACACTTTAACCACTTGCCTACCAGGCACTTATACCCCCTTCCTTACCAGGCCAATTTTCAGCTTTCAGCGCTGCCGCACTTTGATTGACAATTGCGCGGTCATGCAACATTGTACCCATATGAAATTTTGATCATTTTTTTCTCACAAATAGAGCTTTCTTTTGGTGGTATTTAATCGCCACTGGGCACTTTACTTTTTGCGCTATAAATTAAAAAAAGTGCAAAAAATTTGAAAAAAAAAAAAAAGTTTATTTGTTTCTTTTATAAAATTTTTCAAACAGGTATTTTTTCTCCTTCACTGATTTGCGTTGATGAGGCGGCACTGATGGGCACTGATAGGCGGCACTGATGGGCACTGATAGGCAGCACTAAAGGGCACTGATAGACAGCACTAATTAGGGGTCACGGATAGGCGGCACTGATATGCAGCACTGATAGGCGGCACTGATAGGTGACACTGATGATGGGTACTGATAGACGGCACTGACTGGCATCACTTCTGGGCACTGACTGGCGGCATTGACTGGCACAACCCCTGGGCACTGACTGGTGGCACTGACTGGCAGCACTGCTGGGCTGCACTGGTGGGTGGCACTGGTGGGCAGCACTGGTGGGTGGGCACAGGTGGGTGGCACTGGTGGGCACAGGTGGGTGGCACTGGTGGGCACAGGTGGGTGGGCACGGGTGGGTGGCACTGCTGGGCACATGTAGGTGGCACTTCTGGGCACAGGTAGGTGGCACTGCAGAGTGGCACAGGTGGGTGCACTGCTGGGCACAGGTGGGGGCACTGCTGGGAACGGGTGGGCGGAACTTGCGGGTGTCACTGCTGGGCGGAACTTGCGGGTGTCACTGCTGGGCACCGATCATCAGGGCACTGATTATCAGTGCCCTGATGATCGGTGCCGATCCCCGCTCTGACAACTGCCGGTTCTCGGCAGTACTTTCCTCACGATCTGACAGCGTGAGGAAAGTGCAGCCGAGAACCGGAACTTGCATTTCCCTGTGATCAGCGTGTCATTGGACACCGCTGATCACGTGGTAAAAGGCCGGTGGGATTGGCCTTTCACCACATCACGTGATCAGCTGTGTCCGTAGGACACAGCGATCACGGAGATCGCCGGGTGCGCGCCCCCTGGGGCGCGCAGGAGAACGCGTTCTGGGAGGACGTCATATGACGTCCACTCAGAACTGGCCGGCCGCGGTGAAGCCGTCATTCGGCTATGCGCGGTTGGCAAGAGGTTAAAGAAATTTAACTGACTGTTACTTTAACAGCTTAAAGTCCGGACTGTGTCACCCCCCTTCCAGTCCAGGCCATTTTTCAGATTTCACCACTGTCACGTTTTGAGTTACAATTACTCAGCCATGCAGTGCTGTACCCAGATGAATTTGAAATACTTTTTTAGCTTTCTTTCGGTAGTATTTAGTCACTACTGGGTTTTTTTTTTTTTTGCTATATAAAGGAAAAATGACAACATTTTGAAAACAAAAATACATTTTTCTTTGTTTCAGTTCTAAAATTTTGCAAATAAGTAATCGTTCTGCATAAATTTAGGCCAGAATGTATTCTGCTACATTTATTTGATAGAAAAAAAACCCAAATCAGTGTATAATATTTTTAGACATGTCCAGAATGAAAAAAATTAGTTTTGTTTCCTTTCATTCTGATTTGTTATTTAACCACTTGCGCTCCCGAAGATTTACCCCCCCATTAATGACCAGACCATTTTTTGCTATTCGGCACTGTGCTAATTCAACTGGTAATTGCATGGTCATGCAATGCTGTACCCAAACAAAATTTATGTCCTTTTTTTTTACACAAATAGAGCTTTCTTTTGGCGGTATTTGATCACCAATGGGATTTTTATTTTTTGTGATATAGATGATAAATGCCAAAAATTTTGAAAAAAACAATATTTTTTTACTTTCGGTTATAAAATATATAATGAACCTAAAGTTAGTCATAAATTTGGGCCAAAATGTATTCTGCCAGAAGCCTTTTGATAAACAAAAATCCCAAAACATGTATATTAATTGGTTTGTGTGAAAGTTATAGCGACTACAAACTATGCTATATATATTGGAATTTACGCAGCTTTTACTTTCTGACTGCATATCAAATTTCTTGAAGTGCTAAAATTCCAGGGCAGTACGAACCCCTCTCCTCGAATGACCCTTTTTTGGAAAGTAGACACCCCAAGAAATTTTCTGAGAGGCATGTTGAGTCCATGGAACATTTTATTTTTTTGCCACAAATTTTTGGAAAATGACATTTTGTTTTTTACACAAAGTTGTCAGTTAAATGATATATTGTTCATGCATGCCATGGGTGTATGTGGAATAACACCTGAAAACAGATTCTGCTACTTCTCCTGAGTATGGGGATACCACATGCGAGAGACTTTTTGGCAGCCTAGCCATATACATGTCCCCAAAATCCAATGACCACCTTCGGGCTTTCAAACAGCACATTTCCTCATATCACTTCCTCTCCACAGTTTTGAAGGCCCTAAAATGCTAGGATAGTAACCCCCCCCCCCCCCAAATGACCCCTTTTTGGAAAGTAGACACCCCAAGGAATTTGATAAGAGGCACAGTGAGTATTTTGAAGATATTATTTTTGTCATAGGGTTTTGAAAAAGAAAGAAAGAAAAGAAAAAATACATTTTCATTTTCTTTCTTCGTTTACCAAAAACGTGCCAACTACTGTAATGAGATCTGCCAAATACTCACCATGCCTCTTACAAAAATACCTTGGAGTGTCTACTTTCCAAAAAGGGTCATTTGGGAGTGGGGGGGTGCTTCTAATATCCTGGTATTTCAGAGCCAAAATTAGAAGCTCATGTCGAACATCACCCACTTTTCTAACCACTTGAAGACCAAGCCTTTTCTGACAGTTCTTGTTTACTTGAAAAAACTATATTTTTTTGCTAGAAAATTACAAAACATTATATATTTTTTTAAAGCAGAGACCCTAGAGAATGAAACGGTGGGTGCTGAAATTTTTTTATGTCACACAGTATTTGCGCAGTGCTTTTTCAAACGGAAATTTTTTAGAAAAAATACACGTTTTAGAATTTTAATGCACAAAACACAATATATTGCCCAACTGTTTGATAAACTGTAAAAAATGATGGTACACCGAGTAAATGGATATCAAACATGACATGCTTTAAAATTGAGCATGGCCGTGCAAGGGCTACAAGTTACATAAATTTGTAATTTGCTTTAAAAGCCTCTACAGGTCACCACTTTATATTTACAGAGGAGATCTAATGCTAGAATTACTGCCCTTGATCTGATGTTCATGGTAATACTTCACATGTATGGTGTAATCTCTGTTTACATACCACCATAGGACCGTTGCTTTGCGTTTGCCTTTGCACAGGGATGGAGGTGGGGGTGAATTTTAGTTTTAATTATTTGTTCTGCTTTTTTGTTATTTTTACACTGTCCCTTTCATTTTTTGTATCACTGTTATTGTTATCATAGGGAATGTAGATATCCCCTGTGATAGCAATAGGTTTACTCTAGATCTCTCCTCTGCCCTCAAAGCATCTGATCACACCAAGATTGGTGTAATCAGATGCTTTCCCAGTTTACAAATGGCGCTGTTTATATCCAGCGAAACAGAAATGATTAAATTCTTGTAGCTTCTGGTCACTTAGACTATAGAGATGATTGGAGACATTCCAGTCTCTAATCATGGTAGGACGGGAGAGCCCAAAAAAAACCTTGGAAGGCAGCAGGAGGGGGGAGTCGTTTCCCGCTGCTTGTAAAAGTGATACAGCGGCTAATTAGAGGCTATGATTGTTTTTTACAGCTAAAAAAAACAAAACCAGGATGATGCCTGTAGCTGCAGGCATCATCCCGGTATAACCACTCAAAGTCCAGCAACGCACCAGTACATTCCTGGTCACCAGTACATTCCTGGTCCATGTTGGGCATATATGTAACAGCAGAGCATATGATGAATTGGGTCTGTGGACCAATATGACCACAATTCATTCTTTTTTGTAATGCCCATTTTGTGGGTTAGGCCCAAATTAAATTTAGAAACTGTGATAGGCTTCCATGCAAATTGTCTGGCAAGAACCGAATTTGGGTGGGCAGCGATGTATTGTTGTGCATATAAATTCCTTTGGCCCACAATCAATCGGTACAAATTTTCTATGAAAAACAGTGGTGCGGCTAAACGCTACTGCTGACAGCAAATGGGGCCAATCCTGCTAGCACTGTGTTTTCAGAACACTATACAAAGGAGGCACTAGTATAGTTCTGTTCGTGATCAATATATTGATCCGTACAAACACTTTACTAGTCATGGTGGTGATGAGCGACCTATAGCATGAGTGTGATAGTGTGCGGGCAATCTAACGCTGGCTGACCCTGGCTGGGAGGGGCGCTAACTAACCCTGACGTTATCTAATGTTGCTAGTGACAGTAATACAGTGATTAATGAAAAGAGTGCTCATCTAACGTGTGTAAAATGTAGTGCTTTTACTCAGTGCCATTGTGTGTTCATTCTTATTTCCCTGGACGGCATAGGGAGTATCAGTGGGCGCACACAAAATATAGAAATAGAAAGCTTTACGTCGCTTTGCCCAGAGCCGCTGCTCGCCTGCACATTGTTGGCAGGTGGCAAGCAAGTAATTAAAAAAAAAAAAAATAAAATGTATCTCAATAATTTTTTCCTAAAGATATTTTTTTAAACATTCTTTTTCTTTTTTTTTTTATACTTTCATTAAAGTAGTACAATGTTACCATAGTAACATTGTACTACTCTGGGGGGTGATTGGGGATATTTTTTTATTATGAACTGTCATAAATGTGTCAAGTTCATGACAGTTTAATATAATTGTGATCTGTGATTGGCTCCAGCTGGTCACATGGTACAGGGTGCTGTGATTGGCCCCATGTGTCATGTGAGATCTGTGCACCAATCACAGCTCTCCAGGAACAGAAGCAAAGCTTTTATTAATCAGATTGATACATAAAAGCTTTATTGTCATTGTGATCCAGTGGAAACAGAGGATGTGGGGGGGTGGCGCAGCTCCCCCCATGTTGGCAAAAGACCATCATCATACAGGTATATCCCTGGTCTTGTAGCTGCCGTTCATCTGCAGTACATTGCGGCAGACGGCCCAAAAGTGGTTAAATCATTTTATTTTGTTACATTTGTTTAACTCATCTTGGAATTCTTTTGTTTAATTTTTAAATTAGATTCAATTCAATTTGAATTCCATCCAACCAAATTCGAATTGGCATTCGAATTCTAATGTATTCTATTCAAAATTTGAATTTCGAAAGATGGTTATGGTTATATTCTTTCTATTTTATTCTATTATTTTCTATTATTTTTTTTCTGTTCTATTCTCTAATTCTCTATGCTCTATTATTTTCTTTTCTGGTCATTTCTATTTTATTCTATTCTACTTTATTCTATTCAAATTCTAATTTATTCTATTCAAAATTTGCTATATTCTATTTTATGTTATTGTCTATTCTATTCTATTCTCATCTATTCTATTTTAAATTTTAATTTATTCTATTTGAAATTTGAATTACGTAAAACAATTATATTCTTTCCATTTTATTCTATTCTATTGTTATTCTATTATATTCTATTCTGTTCCATTCTTTTCTATTCTATTCAAATTTATTCTATTCAAAATTCAAATTTCAGAAGACAATTATATTCTTTCTATTGTTTTCTATTCTGTTCTACGTTAGTCTTTTCTATTCTATTCTATTCAAATTCAAAGACAGTTATATTCTATTTTATTCTATTCCATTGGGGTTTTTTCTATTCTATACTATTCTATTATTCTCTGTAGTATTCCATTCTAATCTATTCTATTCGAAATTCTAATGACATTTGTATTCTATTTTATATAATTATATTGTTTTTTTTTATTCTATTGTATTATATTCTACTCTTTTCTATTCTTTTCTATTTTATTATAATCTATTCTGATATATTGTATTGTATTGTAT